TAAATTCTAATTATTTTAGGTTGAGTCTTACCATTATGGTCCCATTCCACATGTAGAAACAACAATAACAGCAACAACAACAAGATCAATTAATATGGATAACACCTATGCCAGGCACTGTTCTAAATACTTCATAAGGCATTCACTCATTTATTCCTCTTAATAACTCTAAAAGTACCATTATTATTCCCAATTTCAACTGAGGAAAATAAGGCACAGAGAGGTTAAGAAACCTTTCAAAGTTCACACAATTAGTAAATACTACATGTGAGATTAGTGTAAGCTTTTAACCACAATCTGTACTGCCCCTTTGTTTTGGGGTGCTGTGCATATCTTTAGGTATGTCTCGGCCTCATGAGCTATGTTTAGGTGATGAGATACTGATATTTGCAATGTGTGGGAAGACTTTCTATTGTGACCAACACTGTAAGTTGTGTCAAGCCTCTGCTTTCAAGAAAAGATGTGTGGTGATGTGGTTCTGTGAGCTGTTGGAGAATTTTGTGTTTATAAGAATACTTATTTTGAAAGGTATGTTTCCTTGTTGTGAGTCTAGAACCTGGATTATGGCATGTCTCTGTGCCTTATGGAATGAGTCTGGGTATTGCTGTCTGGGTCTGTGCTTTATAGATGTAGGTAGATTGTGATGAAATTCTGTTAGTTATCAGGGAACCATGTTTGCTGTGGGAAATGTGTATATGTTATAGGGATCTCCAGGTATTCTGAGGATAATTGCTACATTAGGGGGTGCATTGTAGAATGACTCTGTTGTTGTAGGGTAAAAGGTGCATATGTGTGTTGATGTGGAGTATGTCTGTGCATTTTGGGTCTGTTTGTGCCCATGAAAAGTGTTTTTGTGTTATGGGGCATGTCTGTGAATTGGAGGCCAATGAGCATTTGAGGGAGGGATGAGTTTGTACATTGTGGAGTGAGGGTGCATATTCTGTGATGCTGAACACTGTGAAGCTTCTCTGTACATATTAACATACCTCTGGGTATCTTGGGAGATGTGATAAGTGTCATGGAGTATTCTTTGTATTCCTGAAACAAACCTTAGTTTATGGGGAAAGGCCTTAGGTTGAGGATTTAGTCTGTTTGTTATAATACGGTCCCAGTCATTGTACAGGGTATGTCTGTACCTGCTAAGCTATTTTGTAGCAAGTTGATGTACTGTAGAGCCTGTCTACATGTCTTTGGATGAGTCTGTCTATTGTGGCAGTCCGCATCATGGGCAGCCCTGAATTATTGGGTGAGACTGTGTGTTGGAGGATGAGTCAGTATCATGGTACAAGTGTTATAAATTCAGGAGCATGTTTGTGGATAGTAGATATGTCCACATATTATGTGACAAAAATTAGTGTGTGGTAGGATGTATTTGTATAATATAGGGCTTATTGCTGAGTTGCAGGATATATGTATATATGTGTGTGCTGTGTTGTGAGCTTGTGTCTTGTGGGATGTGGCTGGATATTGTGCATGGAGCCTGGAAATTGTGGAATGAGTCTGTGTATTATGGAGCAAGGCTGTGAAATTTTTAGCAAATTTTTAAATTGTGGTGCAGTTCAGTATATTGTGAGTGACATCTGGTTTAGGGTTATGTTTGTGTTCTGTATGGTGTATGGGTGTTGTGGTGGGGTGTCTGTATGCAGTAAGGTGTTTCTAGATGTTCTGTATCATGTGGTGAATCTTTCTGCTATCACATGATTCTAGGTATTTGAGGTAGGCCCTTTTCTCTTTAATAGTAATGGTGGTGGTGGGGTGACAGTAATAGTTGTAATAGTTCCTATGTGCCAGGAACTGCACTAAGTACTTAACATATCTTATTTAACACAAAACAACCCTTTTGACTAGATGCTATTGTTATTACTGTTCTACAGATGAGCAAACTAAAACACAGAGATATATACTTACCCAAGGTGATACAATTAGAAAGGAATGAAACCTGGATTCAAACCTAGGTAGTAGGGGTCCAGAGGCCTTACCCTTAACCATACACAAGCTGTGTATATGTTGTAGGCAAGAGTTGTAGTTCAACAGTATGATAAAGCATGTCTGCAAACTATGATGAAGCTCTTTGCATTGCATGGTAATGTGTATTGTGTGTCTGCACACTGGGGAATGTTTATGTGCATTGCAGGGTTTCCATTTTAAAGTAAGTCTGTGTTGTGATACAATTCTGCACATTGCAGAAGTTTATATTTACAGGCATGCCTGTGAATTTTTAGTGTTGTGGGGGCGATTGTGTTTTGAGGCTAGTCAAGTCTATGTCCCAAAGGGTTTGCCTGTACATTTAAGGTGAGTCTCGGTGTTCAGTGGTGCTTGTGTGTGTTGTGGAGCAAGTATGTTGTTGATGGAAGAATCTATGCATTTTGATGGAATTCTGTGCATGGTTGGGCATATTGTGTTTATGGGCAGCAATGTGAATAGGGACACAGTCTATGCGCTTTGAGGTAAATGTGGCAGTTGTAGAGCAAATGGTTGCAGGTGTTTTGGAATATGTGTTTACACTGTGTAATCACCATAAGGAGTATCATTTTTGTGAAATGAATTTGTATGGCAAGTGTGTGTTGTGAAACAATTCTATGCATTGTAAGAGTGGAGTTTGTATGTATGTTTGCATGGGATAGGTTGCATCTATGTTGTCAGATGAGTGATGGTATTATAGATCACGTCTGTGACTGTGCCCTGAAGGGCATATCTGAATACTTTGGGGATAGATTAGGTTCTACTGTGGCAGGATTGTGTCTGTTGTCAAACAAGACTGCCCATCAAAGGACCAATCTGCATGTTGTGATGTGCATTGTGAGGTGTGGCTACTGCAGTTTGTCTGAAGAATTTGGGATGTGTTTTGTTGTGACAGGGCCACAGTGCGCATTGCATAGTAACTGTATGGTTGGTAAAGGCTTGGATATTGTTGGTCAAATTAGTGCACCATGGAGCTAGTATTTGCAATGTATGACAACTGTGCTTGTTGTGAAGTAAATTGATGTACTGAAGGACAACTTTGTGTGTTGTGTCACAACCTGTACATCATGAGGGATATGTGCTGTAAGATGTACTGTTGTATCTCTGTGCAATGGGATGAGCTTGTCAAAGTGCTGTGTGAAGAGTCTCCATGCTATGGGTTTAATCTGTGTGCCATGGGCTAAATCCTAAAGCTGTGGAGCAAGTCTGTGTCTTGGGGAGAGGCTGTGCATCCTGGGGCCAGTCTGTCTGAGGTGAGGAGGGTCTATGTGTCATGGAGAGGGCCTGTGTCCTGTGAAGACAGTTTGTGTTTAAGGTGTGTTTATATACACTGTAGAGAGAGTCTGTGGACTGTGAGGCATCTCAAGGAGTCTGTGTCATAACTCTTCAAGCTTTACAGGTGTCTATATGCTGTGGGATGGAGTCTGTGCGCTCTGGTGAAGGTCAATGTGATGTGTGGGGAGTGTGTGCTCTGAGGAAAATCTCAACTATGGGTTTAGTCGGTGGGGCATTGGGAGAATATGTGCAGTCTGTTTCCTGTGCTCACATTACTATGAATTTCCTTGGGCCCCTGAGGATGTAAGTAACGTGAAACATTTGGAAGACTTCATGGTCACTGGTGGCCATACTGAGAAGAGGTAATTTGGGAGGAAGAAAAAGGAAGTGGCTCAAAGCCTTCCAAGGATTAAAAATATTCAATGCTGTATATACAATCATGATGGCAGTTTAGCCCAGAAAAACTGACATCATGATTGCAGAATAACTCCTTTAGTGACTCTGGTCCCAAAGACCCCCCCTTTTCCTTCCCAGCTGCATTCCGCCACTGCAAAGGAAGGAATGTGGACGCTCTGGCAAGCTGCTGTTGCCAGGGAAACCAGCCTCTAGATACAAACAAATCACAGCCTAATGCGCAAGTCAAGAAATTACTGGAGCTGTGGTAACGAGCTAAAGAGCCCCCTGCAGTAAGGGTAGGCAAGCCATCCTCCCATCCCTGCTCCTTTGTTTTGTTTCAAAATCAGTAAAGGTTAGATAGAGGCCAGTTCAGAAGTCAATAGAGAAATAAGTATGTGTTGGAGATGGGGGTGGAGGGTCAACAGTGAGTGGCAGATGATTTTAATAGTCAAATATTTTTGTGAGCACACAACCCATTTTCCACTAAAAAACTCAATGTTTTATGCTTGAGCCTTCTACCTGCAGTGAAGAGATGAATCATTGGAGTGTGTCCTTATCTACAACACATGGTGACAATGGTGGCATGGATTGGGACTCACCCTAACCTCTTTAAACCCTAGATCAGAATACTGACAACAACAGGCTGGCCAACATTATTTCTGCTTCTCATACACTTCTTACATTTCCCTCTTATAGCATTTTAGAAAATTCCAGAAACTGAGTCCAGACAGCTTTAATTCTCCAAGCATCTGAGGAGTAGAAAAAGAGGTTGACTCTACATCAGAGAAGCATGGATCATATGCTCAAAACTCAGAGGGAAGATAGGGGAGAGTGGGGGTGAGGGGGAGAGATCAACCAAAGGACTTATATGCATGCATATAAGCATAAGCGATGGATGTGGACAACAGGGGGTGAGGGTGAGGGCAGGATTGGGGGGATGAGGGGACATTGGGGCGATAAGGACACATTTGTAATATCTTAATCAATAAAGGGAAAAATTAAAAAGAAAAAAAAGAAAAAGAGGTTGAAGGAAGAACCTTAGGAGTAACACTAACCCAAGGGGTATTTTTTTGAACACGAAATTAGAATTCAGGTGTGTCTAAGAGGAGTAGCACGTCTGGATCAGTGGTTTATATATTCAGATTTCTCAATTTTAATTTGTAAACAAACATCTGATAAAAATAAAAATTTTGAATAATTAATTTTAAAATCCTGTTTGAAAACATCTGCCTGAAACTGAATGTGCCTAGAATTCTTGAAGAGCATAAGCATGACCATGACACTTTGGAATGCTTTCAGAAGCTGCTAAGAAGGTAGGAGTGCTATTGTGGAATGTAACCACATTAGGTAGAAAGAAAATGGCTGACCTGTGGAAAGTTACACCCTACCTAACAAGAGAACAGTTGTTGCCACTTCAAATCAGTGGAAGAAGGCTGGATTATTCAATAAATGATGCAGAAACAATTGGTGACCTATTTGAAAAAAAAATAACAACACAAAATTAGACCCTACTTCCAAACATATACCAAAATAAATTCAGATAATTAAATTGTAGAAAATGAAACAATTAAATGACTAGGGAAAAATACAGGTGAATATACTCATCAAATGAAAGAATAAATCACAAAAACCAACATTTACTAGTTGTGAATAATTAAAAATGTACACCAATGACATGTAAAAATAAGCCCACCATAAATGATAAAAAAGTCAACAGGCAAAAAAACAACTGGAAAATAATGTTTGTATCACATATGATAAATGAATTAGGCAATATGTATGCGGTTGGGGGTAGGGGAAGAAACAAATTGGTTCATACCATTAGATCCAGAAATTCCACATCTAAAAATTTATCCTAAGGAAAAAACAGAAAAGCACAAATATATTTATATGGAAAGATATTCCTTAAGTTACAATAGCAAAAATTGTACATATACATAAACACTCAATAATTGGACAATTAGTGGGACACCTATATGATTGAAAACTATGCCTCCACAAAATATCACATTCTTATGGAATATTTAAAAATATGGGGAATTTCTTTCAATATGTTATTTTATGTTTAAAACAGGTTGAAAACTATATGTACCTATGGTTTTCATTTTATATATAAACACATTTACTATACATTTATTTGCATGCATTCACTGAAGAGAGACTGACAGTATGTTAATAGTAATTATCTCTACATTATAGAATTATGGGTAATTTTTATAGTCATTTTTGATTTTTCCAAATATTCTGCAATGACTATATGAGATTTTTATGACTAAAGGAGAAAGCATTTTTAACAAGATATTTTAATAAGTGTTATAAAAGCGGTGGAAGCACAGAAAGAAAGTCTTAGAATGAAGACAATAAAAAGCAAAGACTAAATGTACTAATGTACACTGACAGAGCATCAGGCAAAACAAACTTACTATGTACTACATACAAATTATGGTATTTGCATGTTAGTTGGTACGGAATTTCTTATACAAGATGGACTCCTGGAAAATTTTCTTCACTACACCAGAGAATGGTCACATGTCCCTGGATGCGTCAGTCATTCTCTTTGCCGCAGTGCTCTGTTCAACACTGCCTCTCTTTGCCTTCAACACACTCTCCCCCTTTCCCCCTGCAAAATATGCTACCAGCAGACATTTTCAGACTGAAAAAATGGTCCATCTTGTGGACTTTCTTTGAAGCTTTTTCATTCTTATTTTTCCTACTGGATTGATGCTTTGTCATCTAGCTTGAAAATTTATGTATCTTTTTTCTCCTTTCTTCCTGTTGAAGTGTCAAAACAATCTGAATTTCAAAGGAATGAAAAACCACCACTTTAACTATTTTTTCTTTTTCTTTTGCAGAAATAGATCTATGAAAGCAAATTTCATGGAAGAGGAAACATAATACACATTTTCAAAAACATACAAAACAGCTTTGTTGATAGGAATCTCTGCTATCCTTCTTACATCCCTTTTCAAAGAAAGGAATACTAAGAAGATTCTATCTTTACTGTACAAATTGACCCCCATAAATACGAATGAATCATTCTCAAAATATAGTTACAGTCGCAAGGTTCATTATTTATTTTTCATGATTTTTCATCCCAAAACCAAATTTTGATCTTCCCCATTCAACACACATTCATCGCGCACATGAAGTAATTAATCTGAACATTAATTACAGGCTGCCCTCCTTCTTATTTTCTCTCTTGTACAGATATCCAGTGACATCATTTTCTTAATTAAAAAAAGAAAGAAACAATATCCTTTTCCTCATTGCAAAATAACATTGTTTCTCGTGCTTTCTCCACACTGTGAAGGGAAATCAGATCTGAGAACATCTAGAATCACAACCCATTTTTGTCAGGTCTAATCCAAACATAGTAAAGCAGAAATACCGTTCCGAATTCAATTTCTCATTTTAGTGACATCTTCGTCAAGTCTTATTTTGGGAAGTATCTTACCAGAATCACAAGGAGGAAGTTTCTATATTTTCTTCCAACAACTCACCATTTAAGACACAAGCTTTAAACTAGAAAAGTGACCGTGAAATATTTAGACTATAATTAAGCCATTTTTCAAGTGCTACTGATTAGAATTCGAAATTCCTACACAGTTTAGTATTATTCTATTCCATTAAAACATGTCACTTGCTTTAGAAAGCATATTTTGGGTATCTAATTTACAGAAGATTGTTCAGCTACTTACCAGCAGCATGCGCTTTGCCTCTGCACCAGCTCCCGGGCTATAGCACTGAAAAAGTGTGGGGGGGAGGGGCAGCCAGTCACTTGAAAATGGGTTGTGCTTTGAAGAAGGGATAATCTCTATGGAAAGAAATGAAATTCCTTGGGATTAGCCTCAAAATTCCTCCAAAAACATAAAATCATATTAAGCACTACACACTAAAAAGTACATGCTCATCAAAGGACAGATTTTAATAGCTAAGCCTCTGATCCAAATCACACTTAAATTGCCTTGATTTCCAGTGGAACCCCTACAATGCCATGGGCTTTTGGCTCTCCCGTCTCCTAGCAACAGTCTCATTAATGGTGTTTTTTCTGCAGTGGTCCTACTACCCATCAGACAAGTACTAGTCTCTCTCTGGTAGTGAGCATTGCCATTTTGTTGTTCGGTGTGTGTTTTTTCTCTAAGTAAGTAATACAGAGAGTCAGGCATTCAATAACATTTCTCCAGAAGATGTTGGTTTCAAATGACATTCCATTCAAATGACATACATTGTTCTTGTTCCTTCCCTCGGTGCAATGTTGTAATTCGATCCCTGACCTAAAGATAAGACTTAGAAAAATATCCCCAGCCTCTTCTGCAATCCCCAAATTACACATAGGCCCACAACTAGAAATCCAGGCCCTAGTGTTGTTTTCCACTGTGCTCAGAGAAAAAAAAAAAGAATTCATGGGATTCGTCTGTATTCTTAGTCCTGTTACCAAGACCCCTAACCATCAGTATGTCTACTAGAGGTATATGACATGAAAAACAGTGGATGAAATATAACCAGATAAAAAACAACCCATTTATCTATAAATATTAACATGGAAAATACTGACTATACATTAAGGAAACAAGAGTAGATTACTATACAGTAAATATAATATGATCACTTGTATATCTTATTTAGATAGGAATAAATGTACCTAAAGAAATCTGGAAGGGTGTGTTAAAAGTGGTTATATCTCAGTTTTCTGTGGATGGTAGAATTTGAGGGAAGTTTAAATCATTTTTCTTTTTGGTTATCTATTTAATAACTTTTCTGCAATTACTATATCTCTTAAATTATTATAAAAGAGCAGGACATGAAAATATAAATGTACTTAATGGCACTAAACTGTACACCTAAAATAGTTAAAATTACGAATCTTATGTTATGTATATTTCACTATAATAAAAAAGAGAGAACCATTCATTCAGTTCCCAAACATGTATTGAGTCTCACCACATTCAAAATACTGTACTGGGTCAGGAATTATAAAAATGAACAAAACACATTTTGTCCCCTTTCTAAAAGTTCATAATCTAACAAACAGCTAACCCAAAAATTTCAATATGGAATTCTGATACCTGATATAGAGAACTGCTGCATTTAGACACACTTTTTATTTTATTTCACCAGTCTTGGGTAACATTTATAATTAGGGTTGTTACATTGTCTGCCTAAATTATTGGATTCCCAGTGGGTGGAGGAAGTAAAGAATTACATATTAAATTTTAATATATAAACATATGTTCATTTGTATATTTGTATAGAATTGCCATATTTCAAAAATCAAGGGCAGGGAAACTGCTCTAGGTTAAAGAAAATTAAAAAGATATGACAAAGAAGAGATATGATACCAAATATACTCTGTGATCATTGATTGGATTCTGAATAGAACATAAAACAGCTATAAAAGACATTATGGGAGCAACTGAAACATTTAAGTATAGACTAGATATTAGATAATATTAGATCAATGTAATAGTTCTTACTAGGTGTACCGGTTAATAATGTGGATTTTGTAATCAAAGGAAACACGATAATTTCAAGAGAAACATCAAAAGTGCTTTATTCAAAGTAATGTCCATCACTAGCTACACATTCTCCATCTTTCAGGTAATCTGTGGGTACCGTCCCAATAGAACTTTTCTTGTTTTGAGGCAAACCATTCAGAGACCCAATTTTCCACATCTTCATACGTTTTAAAGTGCTGCTCAGAAAGTGCATGTGCCATCGATCAGAACAAGTGGTAATCAGAAGGAGCAAGGTCTGGTGAATACAGCGGGTGGGTTAATACTTCC